GAAAGGAAAGCTTTGTACAGGGTGAAAAATGTAGTTAGGGGTTGAGGGATAAAGCTGACATTATGGAAACTCCTACCGTAGCCAAGTGACCGCAGGGGACTAGTTGACTCAAGGAGATCAGAAGTCAGAAGAGGCCCAGCCATTTCTAGTATGAAGAAAAATGAAGAAATGTCACAACAGGATTACCAAAAACTGGGGTATATTTTATTTTTGAGATCCTCTGTGAAGCCAAGATGCTCCATCCATGATAGGCCTTGTGAACGGTGTGGGGCCAGTAGATACATGAAGTGGACTGGAAATGATCTGAATGCAGAGCTTTGGAAAGTTGATTTTGGGGGGTGGGGGGACACAACTCCAGAAATGCTTCACTTGCCCAGACTTTCCTAGGGGGAGAATATAGTGGTTCAGGCCACAGACCATCTACCCCACTTTCTGTTTTCTTCAGCAGCCAGATGCAAGCCTGTTGACTGGAAGCCACAAGCAGAGTGAAAGCTAAGAGTGCTGCCTCTGTGACTTGTTGGATCAATCAGTGTTGGGAGGGATGCTGCTGCCTCTAAACCTGAGCATTTCATTTCACTGCCTCTCCTACTTTGGATTACTCTGAATCGGGATCAATGTCGCATCCTGGTGTTTTTTTTAACTATGTTGGATCTACAGCTTCAGTTGTCCCCAGCCAGCATTCCAAAGCAGATGTTGTCGCTGGTCTATTACATCTTGGTGGATGGAGATCATTTTGATCCTGAGGAAGAAAGCCAGCTCTAAACCAAGAATCGGAAGCTTTGGCCCCTTTACACTGTAGGTTTGCAATTCCCAGAGTCCCTTTTAATTGACTAGGACTGCTGGGAACCACAGTCTAATAACCATCTGAAAGGCCGCATATTTGCCATCTTCGGCATTCGGACAAAAGTAAAAATACATTTCTCCTTACTGTTAACATAAGCAAGGCATTCCTTCCCCTCATAATGATATTTCTGCTTCTTTGTTTCAACGATGTGAGGAACTTTTGGGGTGTACCCTGAATGGGCCTTCTACAGACAATATATTGCCACCTCTTTCTCTCATCCATTGTTGTGGAACAATTCCAAATTCTATTATGATCTACTAGAAATGAGGAGAATTTGAATCTCACATGCACTCAGCATTTCCAGTTTTATAAGCTGACATCGTTAACTGCACATTGATATCTCTTGAAATCAGATTGTCCTGCTAAAAATCTTTGTAGAGTAAGTTTAGGGTCACAGACTTTAACAGCTGGCTTACCAAAGTCAAGGTGGGTAGGTTGGTAGGTAGGTAGGAGATAGTCCTATTAATGAGCACAGCACTCTACAGGATAAGGACAGAAACCTTTTAAGAAACAAAATCCAAATTGCTACCTGTAGGACATTTACCATCTAAATGTAGACAGTTCAGGAGACAAGAAAAGGGAGAGGCAAGAACAATAGAATAAAAGTTTGTGCAAATGAAGTTAGCAGTATGTAAGCTTTATTTTAACTGGGGAATGAGGACTAGTAGGCTATATTACTGATACTAATTAGAATAGCTGGGACACCCGTAGGCTTGCGGACAGCAACCTAGTGCTTTTACTGTTTTATATGTTCAAGTCTGGTTTCGTTCAAAAGCTAGGTTGCTGGCTCTCAGTTCATTTGCCTTCTCTGGGCAAATGCCTGATGAGTGACCATAGCAAATTTTCTATTGCACAGAAGTCTTCATAACTCAAAGCAAAAAGATTGCTGATGAAAATAAAGATATCACAAATGCAAGCATTTTAATCACATCATTAATAGCTATATAAACACATTGTTTCTTCATGTATAAAAACTACATTGTAACCAAGACTGTGGTTTTGAATTCTGTGTTCATTAATTCAGGTGTTACATGTCATTAAGCCACATCCAACTTACAGTGACCCTAGTAAGGTTTTCAAGGTGTGTGAAGTAGTTAAGGCGTGGTTTTACCAGTGCCATCTCCTAGTGAATTTCTATAGCCAATCAAAGATTCGAACCCAGATGTACCGAATAAATCTCCCATTCTTGTCCATCCCTCTACTTCCTACACCACATTTACCCCTTCCATATTCCATAATTAGAGTCATTAAAATATGTTAGATTCTTCTCTGAATTCCTAAGCATGCACTGCAAAAGGTTATGTTTCAGTGTCAGGGCATCTACTTGGCACGTAGAAGGCCACAAGCTTCAGTTCTTGGCATCTGTGGATGGACTGGAAAAGATTGCCTCCCGAAATTCTAGTGAGCTGTTGCTAACCAATGGAACCCTTCCCTTACACAACATGGTGCCTATGTGAGGTGCTGGAACACAGCATAGCTATCATTGCTATCCATGGGAGTTGTAGTTCCATGCATGTGAAGGATGCTAAGTTGTGGAACCCTGTTGTAGGCAATAATGAACTAGATGGACCAGTGGTGTGACTCAGCATATGTCTGATTATCTATTTAAAAAAGAGTGGGCAAATGGAAACCATATTTCAATATCCGCATATTTTAATACACTTGAGTGGTTAGGTCAAAATGAGTTGTTAAGTGCGGCGATTAATACAATACTATTTTATGTGTACATCTAATAACATTATGTTTCAGACTTCCTACACTTGTTGAAGATAAGGACTTCATTTGAACTGTAGGCTTTAGAACAAATGGTATTGTGAAATGTAATATTACAGTTTTATAGAGTTTTTTGCTTTAGTTGCTTTAGCATGTGCATTTCCTCTAGGACCGTTTGAGGTGGATAAGTCATTGCATGTGGGACTCCAGATTAGAAATTACCACTCCGTCATGAAGCTCACTTGGTCCTGGGTGAGCAGACATATAACCTAAGAGAATTACAAACAAGTTTAAAGAGACTCCCCAAATGGCATATATCCACAATCCCATGAGCTAACACTGTTCATCCATGAACCCCAACCACTCGGACAATCTATTAGCACACCTTTCTCTCATACATTATTATCATGATCTACTAGAAATGCTACAGCATCCAGGTCATGCCACACAAAGAGAGCAACAGCCATACAATAGAAAGGTGCTTGTGGAAGAAATGCAGAGGTTATGGTGGTTAAGCCAAAAAAAAAAACCCAAACCCTCGTCTAAGGTCTCTCCTTACCTTTCTGATATTCATTTTTGTCATGGCCTTGAGATGGAGAAATTTTGATTCACGTGATAGACATTATGTTCAGAGAGCTATATTGCATTTTATGTAGAACAGGGCTGGAGATAACCTATCCTTCAGATGTTCAGCCTGCCGCTCCTGACAGCCCTGCCCAGCATGGCCAATGGTAAAGGATTGGCTGGAGTTGCCATTTAAAACATCTGGCAGGCCAGAAACCTCCCACCTCAGATGTAGAAGTAACTTGACGAGTGAAGGATTGTGTGTCAAATTTATACTGTACACCTTCTGAATGAGGGTGGGGGTTGTATTTTTGAATGCTCCCTCACAATATCGACTAGATAGGCGGGATATAAATAAAGTTTTAAAAAAAAGATCCATCTTCCCCAACTTATCTGAAATGGCTTTAGTTTATGGGTGTTATGTGCTATAATCTATAGTTTGCCAGTGCTACTGCTCCACCAGTAAGTTTCCATATTTAAGCAACAGTTCGAACTCAGGTCTCCTGAGTCCTAATCCATCACTCTATCCTTTACACCACATTGAATACTCCTCCTTACTCTACTACTCTGTAGGATGTAGGTGTAAAGAACAGCTCCCAGTGAATTTACATTGCAAGTGAAAATTGAGTGTGCAGAGTCTTTGCATTCACGTGTAGCTCTTGTTCATCCTGTTGTGCCTTGTTTACAAAATTTGAGTATCAGTTTTCTCCTGAGGAGGCAGAATATGCATCTATTTAAACATAGTTGTCACACTGCCTCACCTCTGACATGTTGGCAAACGGCAATAAGGAGCCCAAAGAGACTTTTTTATGTCACTGGTGGAAAAAGGCTCCCGTTTTCTAAATCAGTCGCTATAGACAAAAATGCCAAGGCACTCAATAACTTTTCCTCAGAGGTGGCAGACCCCAGTCCTCTGTAGAAGGTGTGGATAAGCCCTCAAGGTCCTAGAAAGGGAAGGAAAAAAAAGAAGCACTTCTGAACTGTCTGTTCCTCCCAATGTAAAAGCACTTGTGGACCAGGATGTGAGGTGGGACCTCACCCCCAGATCTGGGAGTGGAGAACCCCTGTTGCCTAATTAATGCACCCCCTATGATTCAAAGAGTTGTGAAGGAAGGTTAGATTTTAACCTGACATGAAGGGGAGAAAACACACTCTGAATAGAGAGGTGTTTGTACCTTGACATAGAAGCACCCATTCCAAACTGCACTGATTTTATGTTCTGTTCCTGCTATTCAGCTGACAGAAGATACTTCCCCCCCCCCCGAAACTGCTCCCTCACCTGGGTGCTTTACCTTCCAAGAGGCTTGCCTTATCGTGTCATGCCAGACGGGGTCATGCGTTGTACACCTCTTGGAGTTTTCTTTTTAGTCTTCTCCTCCGTGTGTTATTTTTTAAAAAAGAAGAAATGATGTTAGCTTGAAGAAGAGACGCTTTCAAGGTTTGTCTCTTCCCCTTTCCTAACAAGCACTAGGAATAAAGTTGCAGAAGCAGGAAGGCGGGGTGTGTGGGGGGGGAGGATGATTGACAGCTCTGAACCATAGGCTCATCCCTTACCTTAGGCCATGCGATCCGATTGGCTGTCCCCTGACATCCCCAAAGCATAGACACTTTTAACACCAGCTTTGGGTAGATCCGTCTTGGGGTGGGTGGGGAAAAAGGTTCAGTGAGGTGCCTTTCTGACAAGGCAGAAAGTCATCTTCCACTCCAGGAGAGAGTTTTCTTGGGCTATTATAGGGGGCGTGTACATACATAAGGGGAGGGTGGGTGGGGGGTGGGTAGCAAGGGCCTGACTTTTTATTTATTTATTT